TTTCTTTCTTTCTTTCTTTCTTTCTTTCTTTCTTTCTTTCTTTCTTTAATATGATAAGAGTGAGTGATCTCCTGAGAGCCAGAGCTTTTATTTTGGCGTATTTCTTGTTTGTTCCAGATCTCTGATCAGGTGGAGCTGATCAGTTTAATAACTAGAATTTGTCCTGGTTCAAGTAGTTTTTCTTCATAGAGGTTCTATCTATCTTTAGATTTAAAATGTCTGTTTATATATTTACTTAAATGTTTTTTCTATTTGGTTCTGAGGGTCCAAACGACTTATTTACAACATTTTAATTCCACAATAAGAGCACGATTGGTGTAAAACGTCTAAAATAATTTATCTTTAGATTTAAAACGTTTGTTTATATATTTAGTTAAATATTTTTTTATTGGTTCTGAGGGTCCAAACGACTTATTTACAACATTTTAATTCCACAATAAGAGCATGATTGGTGTAAAACGTCTAAAATAATTTATCTTTAGATTTAAATGTTTTTTCTATTTGATTCTGAGGGTCCAAACAACTTATTTACAACATTTTAATTCCACAATAAGAGCACGATTGGTGTAAAACGTCTAAAATAATTTATCTTTAGATTTAAATGCTTTTTCTATTTGGTTCTGAGGGTCCAAACGACTTATTTACATCATTTGAATTCCACAATAAGACCACGATCGGTGTGAAACGTCTAAAATAATTTTCCTTTAGATTTCAATCATTCGTGTCTGATAGCTTCTGCTATGAGGCCAAGAGGTCAAAGGTCAAAGAAAAAAGAAGGATCCTGATACAGAGAAGCAGAAAGGCAGCCTCATAGGAGGCTCTCAGGAGGTTATCTAAAATATTTTATATATTATAATAAATAATATTATTCATTATTTATTAAATCATTATTATTATTATTTATAATATTATTTATTATTTATTATATATAAAATATTTTATATATTTACTAAAAAATTTTTTCTATTTGGTTCTGAGGGTCCAAATGACTTATTTACACCATTTGAATTCCACAACAAGACCACGATTAGTTTAAAACGTCTAAAATAATTTTCCTTTACATTTCAATCATTCGTGTCTGCTAAGAGGCCAAAGAGGTCAAAGGTCACCTAGCTAAACGGCGCGCTAAAACCTGCCTGAACGGGCGCCACTTCTTCCTCCTCCTCGGCCGATCCGGGGGACACGGCGGGGGTCCTCCTCAGCACCACCCGCCTCTGCCCCGCCCCCCCCACGGTGGGCCCCGCCCCCCCCCCGGGCCCCGCCCCCCCCCCGGTGGCGGGCGACGCCCCCCCGATGGCGTGTGGCGGTGGCGAGCAGGGGGCGGCGGCCTCCAGGGAAAGAGTCGTGGAGGACTGGGACAGACGCAGACGCATGCTGCGCTGTAACCGCTGCCGCCTGCTGGGGGCGCTGTGACTCAGGGGCTGCTGCAGGAGGAGGAGAAGAAGAAGAACAACAACAAGGAGAAGAAGAAGAACAACAACAAGGAGGAGGAGGAGAAGAAGAACAAAAACAACAACAAGGAGAAGAACAACAACAACAAGAAGGAGAACAAGAACAATAACAACAACAAGAAGGAGGAGGAGAAGAAGAACAACAACAACAACAACAAGGAGGAGAAGAAGAAAAACAACAACAACAACAACAAGGAGAAGAAGAAGAAGAACAACAACAACAAGGAGAAGGAGAAGAAGAAGAACAACAACAAAAACAAGAAGGAAGAGAAGAAGAACAACAACAACAACAAAAAGGAGAAGAAGAAGAAGAACAACAACAACAACAAGGAGGAGGAGAAGAAGAAGAACAACAACAACAACAAGGAGAAGAAGAAGAACAACAACAACAACAAGAAGGAGAAGAAAAACACAGCAACAACAACGAGAAGGAGAAGAAGAAGAACAACAACAACAACAAGGAGGAGGAGAAGAAGAAGAACAACAACAACAACAAGGAGGAGGAGAAGAAGAAGAAGAACAACAACAACAACAACAAGGAGGAGAAGAAGAAGAACAACAACAACAAGGAGGAGGAGAAGAAGAAGAAGATTAGGGAAGGGAAGGACGCTGGGATGTTAACAGAGGCTTCCTTATTATTTTGTTACATTCAGGGAGGACAGTTATATATATATACAGTTATATATATTTAATTAAGTTATACGATTATTACATTTATGCTAATAATTAATCATTCAAATTCTATAAACAATAATAAATG